CCAAAGACCCAACCATATGCAGTTGTGAGTAACGCAGTTGTGAGTATCGTCTTCGGCGGAGCTTCCTATGGGGCGACGAAGCGCGTGAGCGATGTATCGAACTGGGCGCGGTGGGCACATGCAAACGCGTGTGAATGGTGTACCAAAATGGGTGCGGTGGCGCCACTCGAGCGCAGCCATTGGGGCCCTCGGTGGAGATCTGTATGGGGCCACGAAACGTGCGAGGGGTGCGCCGTGCGCCGACATGGGTGCGGTGGTGCCATGCGAACGCAGCCACTGGGGTATTCGGTGGGGCTCGCTACGGGGCCACGAAACATGTGAGCGGTGTGCCGAAGTAGGTGCGGTGGTGCGGTGCGAGCGCAGCCACTGGGGCCCTTGGTGGAGCTCCACTGGGGGCCACGAAACGTGTGAGGGGTGTGCCGAACTGTGTGCGGTGGTGCCATGCGAGCACAGCCACAGGGACCTTCGGTGGAACTCCAGTGGGGGCCACGAAACGTGTGACGGGTGTGCCGAAATTGGTGCTGTGGTTCCATGCGAACGCAGCATGTGAGGGGCGTGTTGGAGTTGGTGCGGTGGTGCCATGCGAGCGCAGCAACTGGGTCTGTAGGTGGAGCTCCGTATGAGGCCACGAATCGTGTGAGGGGTGTGCCGATATGGGCGCGGTTGTGCCATGCGAGCGCAGCCACAGGGCCCTTCGGTGGAGCTCCTTCTGGGGGCACGAAGCGTATAAGGGATGTGCCGAAATGGGTTCGGTGGTGCCATGCGAGTGCAGCCACTGGGTCTGTAGGTGGAGCTCCTATGTGGCCGCGGCGTGTGTGAGGGTTGTGCCCCACATGGGTGCGGTGGTGCCATGCGAGCGCAGTGGGGTCCTCGGAGGACCTCCTTATGGGGCCACGACAAGTTTGAGGGATGTACCGAAATGTGTGCGGTGGTGCCGTGCGGGCGCAGCAACTGGGGCCCTCGGTGGAGCTCCATTGGGGGCCACGAAACATGTGAGGGGTGTGTTGAAATGTGTGCGGTGGTGCCATGTGAGCGTAGTCACTGAGGCCTTCGGTGGAGCTCCCTATGGGTCCACGAAACATGTGGGGGTGTGCCGAAATGGGCGCGGTGGTGCCATGCGAGCGAAGCCAGAACTGCCTTCGGTGGAGCTCCCTATGGGGCCACGAAGCGTGTGAGGGGTG